CCCCTTGCTGCTGCCATCGCCTCTTTCCCTGGGTGACCTCTGGGGTCTACTCTCTAGAAACAAGATGTCTGGGTGGAATGTTACCTAACGTTGAGCCAAAAATGCTGTTTTATCTCTCAGCTTTCATTCACCAATAACAATACATATTAAGCATCTGCTGTGTGCAGGAATTATAACTGCACGGACGATGTGGGTAAGCGAAGGGGGAACAAAGATAAGTAACACAGGAGTGAGTGGTCTCTTAAAGGGATTTCAGTCAAGAGGGAGAAAAGCGACTCAAAGTCATTGCATGGACTGATGCATACACAAAATATTTTTAAAGGCCTTAAGGATTCTGTTATATTCAGATCAAGAGGATTTTGTTACTGTTCTGTTTGTTTTCTCCCAAAAGATATTGATCTAGTCTGACCTTAACAGACTCTGTGGAAACCCAATTCACATCAGGCAAAAAAAAGTTTTTAAAGGGACCTTACACCAGATTTGGTTCAGGTTGAATATTACCTTTTTAAGGAACAAATGTAGTTGTTCTTTGAAGCCATGAAAATCCTAATTTTGGTTGCAGCTGGTTACTACATCCAGTTAGAAATATAACCTTTGATGAATTTGGCAAGTTGAATTTGAAGTATTCGGAGGCATGTGTTGAAGTATCCGATATCCAATATCAGCTACTGTTGGAAGTGGGATAAAAAGAAAGGCTGTTTAAGTGGGACCCATCTTGCGGAGCTTCCAAAGTCTGCATTGGAATAATTAGTTACTAAACTATCTTCAATAAAGCAATCCTGTTTAAATTTTAGAATGTTAGAAGAGATCCTAAATAGATTCAAATTTAGCTCAGGAGTCTAGCTTGACAGTCACATCTATGGCGAGGAAACCAAGGCTGAAGTCACTTGCTCAGAGCCACGCCCCTGAGGAGGAGTGTGAGCTCAAGGCCAGGTGGCTGTGCCGTCGGTCAGTGACCAGCACGCCAGCCTCATCTGAGAGGTCAGGATGCTTCCTGCGTTCAGACCTGAGACCGTGGCCTCCTGCCTGGGCCCCAGTCTGATTCTCCATCACCTTTCACTTTTACTTTCCTCAAAGCCAACCTGTTTTCTTCCTGGCCCAGTGCATTCCTCTCCTAGGTAGAATCCTCCCCTGTTTTTATTCCACTTTATTTTGGGCAATCAGCTGTGCGGCGACCACAGATGTCTTAGCTGCAGATAAATTAATGCAACTCTGGATGCCTGCGAACAGCTGCCCAGGCTGGGTGAGCGCGGCCGTCAGCCTGGCGCTGCGGGTGCGAGCCCCGCATCACACGGCGGTTCTCTCTGCCTGCGGTGGGCTGCTCCTCGCAGACAGTTTCCTTTTTATGGAAGTGACATAAAGAGGATTTTGTATCTTAAAAAATGGCTTTCTTAGCCATATCCTCAGCCTAAGCATTGAGTTTCTTATTATTCATGGGACTCAAAACGGTGTCTCGAAAAATGAGTAGCAAGTGTATCATCCTGAGGTTAAAGCTTGTTATTAGAGCGCCATGCCTTTGGGGCAAACCCTGCGGGTGCTGTGCTCTTGGCAGGAAGTGAATTCCTAACTTCCGATCTTTTTTTTTTGAAGTTATAAATTAAAACGACTTGAGTGCTTTCTGTCTGTCTGCCAGACAGTGTGCTTGCGGGCGTTTTGGCCGCATCCTCACCCGAACCCTGTGAGGCTGATGTCATCCCCCGTAGCACCGCCCGCACCTTACAGGTGATGGAGGGCGAGGCTTGGCAGGAGGAGTAGCAGCCCTGGGAGGCACAGGGAGTCTGTCTCCCAAGGCTGGTCTTGACTATGACCAGTACTGCCTCGCATGATTTGACATTTGTGCCTACAGAATACAATAGTAACCCTCTTTGCTTTCTCCCCACGAAATGTTCTTACTGGTCTTAGAATGGGCTGTTTGCGTCCACAGGGACATCATTAGGTGTATGGCCTTGGGTACTAGCTATCAAACAGCAGTTCTTTCACACCTGCGTAAAGCAGTGGTAATCATCTATTTTTTTAAACATTTTTTTATTGAGTTACAGTCAGTAATCATCTATTTTTAAACTGCTCAGCTACGTTTTTCATCATGATCTTGTTAATAATGCCAGGCCGCTGAGGAGTTATCAGTCATGAAATCTCATCATCTAAGCTTTCCGAGGGCCCTCACCTGCTGAAACACCAACTTTCCTTAATTAAAATTTTATTCTCAAAAGAAACAGCTCTATGTGTTTTTTAGTAGTTAATAATGAAACTAATTATTGTGGCTCTGCTGCATCTTTGGCTCCATTTATTTAAACATGGGCATTTGTAGCCTTGTGTTCCCTGGCCACGCTAGGAAGGCAGAGCGTCCGCTAAGCTGATGTTTTTATTGGGAAGTTCTGCCCACTCCATCCAGAAGTAATCACTTTTGTAAGACAGTGTCCACGTCCAGCCTTTGCTGGTAGTTATATAAATGGGGAGTCACAAAAACCTAACAGCCCAGGAGGGTGTTTTTATTTTAATGTGTCTGAAGTAGGATGGAGAACATCCCCCCCAAATGTGCTCACCAATTTCATAACAGATGAGAAAGGGTCTCCCAAATGACAAGCAGTTAAAAAAAAAAACATGGCTGGAAATATTACTAAATGAGAAACATTTGAAATGTTGTACTTTTACACTTCGGGATGTCCGTATGAGGACAGCTCTGCTTCTGTAGTCAGCCCACAAAGGCTTCTCCAAGGAGCCTCTCTTTCCTGCTGCTGGTCTCTCCTGGATCCGTCCTGGGTGCCTGAGCTTGTCTAAGGGAGATGACATGGCTCTTCAACGGTGCAGACTTACTCCTTGTGAATTCCTTAAGCCCCGCCCCCCACCTTCCTCCCTCCCCCCTCCCTCCCTGCCACTTCCTTTTAATACTTAGGATCTTGCTGGAAGAGTGTATTGAGAAGTTGACTCTGTCTGAACAGTGTTATCTTTGAATGATAAAGGAGAATTGTTCCTCTCTACCCTAGAGCAGGAGTTTTAAATTTTGGATTTTGTGACCGGGTTTCTGGAAGGGAAGTTTTATGCAGACTGTTTTTTGTATGTGCTCAGGGAAAATGGACTAGAAAACGGGCTTAGGACTTGCATTATACCCTGTATGTAAATGCAGTGTTTTCAGTGGGATCCGTGGCTGTTCTGTCAGTGGTCTTGGTCAGTAAACTTCTCATGGTTACCACTGTTTTGCTGCCCACTTTTCCCCTTTCAATGGCTAGTGAGGAAATTTAGCAGCAGTTCCCCAAAACGTGGACATAAGGGCTTCTGGAAGTTGCTGTTGTTAAAAGCAGTAAATATGTCAACTTAAAGAGGATTAATGCATCAGATGATTGATTGTAAGCACCCCTCATCCTCCCCATCCCCACCCCCCAAAAAAAGGAATTCAGCAGACGCATTCTGAGTGGGTACAGATTAGATGAGGGAGTTCGTCCGTGACTCACTCGGTCAGTCTTTCTTTTTGGCAGTTTTGAACCTGGTTATCTGCCAAACTAAGGTAAATAGTTTCAACTTGAAGCTACACATTGTTATGCATAAGGGAGCACTGGTTCAAGACAGGAAGAGAGAACAACAAACGTTGCAGTGCAATTTAAAAAGAGCACAAAAAAAGAGTGCAGTTTCTCTAAATTCATATCAGTAAAAATCTTTACTAGATTCCTAAAAATGTCTATGTATATGTATACATATGCAGACACATGTATGTGTGTGTAAACATTGTGTGTGTGTTACACCTTTTTATAGTAACTGCAGAATTTCTCATCTGAACCCACTCATTTGCGAGTGAAAAGGAATGCTATTAATAACTACACTAGAGTCACTGGCATTAACAGACATATGTGGCCGATATATAAATGCAATATTTGTCTCTTATTTAAAAAAAACTGTTAGAAGTGAGGGAGTTAGATTTTAACCTTTATTCTGTGTCCCTTTGGACAATGTATATTAAATAAAATTGATGATTAGGAATAAATAAATAAATACACTCCAAAGTTTGAGAGAGGAAAATAATGACATTTATATCCAATCTGGTTTTTTTGTTTCGTTTAGGAAGAGTCAAGGCTGTCTGTCGCCAACCGTGGGTTCTGTGTGGGTACGTGCTTGCAGGGATCCTTCTGTCTTACCTCATCAATTGGAAACAAAACATGAAAATCATCAAAGCAAGCCAGTTGATTGCTAATGCGTAAAGTGGAGCATTTCCAAACATCAAGTCAAAAATCATTTTTAAAAAACCTAGTTTGGTAAATTGTTTTTTAAGTGGAGGGACTGGGGATTGATACCAGGACCTTGTGCAAGCTAAGCATGTGCTCTTCCAGCTGAGCTGTAACCTCTTCCTCCCTCCCCACTTTGATACTTTAACATGCCTTTCACTGAAATGCCCATTTTATTATTCGTTTAGTCCCCAAGCTCAACATTTTGAAAGATACTTGTTCACAAACCATAATTTTTTTTTACTTACATCATTAAATAGGAAGCAATGAAACATCATGGGTCACTTGTTAAACGGGGCAAAGTAAAACTGGTCCAGATAAATCATGAGGGCTATTAAATACTGCACTTGAAAGAGAACTGTAACACAATCAATAATACGTTCATTGGAAATAGAGTTTTCTCCTAAAATCACTCACTCAATCATTGAGCACAAAAAGATAGTACAAAATGGCTAGGTTAGAAACATTCATAAAGTGGAGGAGTGTCTGTCGTTCGGCAAGCATCTCAGGAGGTCTGGGTGCTGGGATGCGCTGTGACAGCCTGAGGCAGCGGGAGGTGGGTCCCCAGGGAGAGCAGCTGCCCCCCGGGAGCCGAGAGGGGCCTGCTGCTTTTGTCTGTCTGTGACGTGATGCGAGGGGCTCCATCCAGTAAGTCACCAGGAGAAGATGGAAAGGCATCTGCGTGAACCCAGGGTTCCCTCAGCCCCCTTTGCTCTGAGACAGCGTTAGATGAAGGGGAGCTCTTTGTTCTGAGTCCCCTGATGCAGCCCCTGGCAGGGGTGAGCACAGCTTTGATTAAGAGACAAGACAGAGTGGGGGACCAGGTCTGTTGCTTACATGGGAACAGAAAGAGGCCTCGCCTTTCTCCGGGTCTTCGGTGATAAAGGCGAAGCAGAGCCTCTACACCAAGGATACAGCACGTTGCCTGTCTTAGAGTTACAACCCAGGAATCGGTGTTCCGCCTGTGCTGGGCGCCTGGACCCGCCTGCCTTTCCAGATGGCCCCTGCCTGGCTGCGCGCTCCCCAGGTACGACCAGCTGGCCCCTCCCACCCCTGCTGCACTGGGCGCTGTGCCTCCCTCACATTCAGAGCTGCTTCTGCTGCCTTTTGCTACACGAGATCACACTTTTCATATAAACCAAGGTCAGAAGAGCACCGCCACGGTCGTGTCCCCCACGGACGGTGCCACATGACCACGCTGGGCTCACAGGCAACGTGTGCTACTGGAGCCTGAACCTTGTCAGCTGGAGGGAGTGGTCCCAGGAACTTCTTTTGTCATTTGGGGTCCTTCCTGGTATTATCAACACCCAGTTTGTTCTTCGTTTAAGGTACAGTTCTGCAGGGAGTGAAAATACTGTCATTTGCATAGCATCATTGGGAGGAAGGATGCCAACTATGTGCAGTAAATGCCACGTGCGGAGGAACGTGTGAGTCGTGTTACTGGACATCTACTTGACCTTCATAAAAGCCTGGGGAAGTTGGGAAGTGGTAGCACCCAGTTAACAGGCAAGCAAAACAAAGTTCAAAGACAGTAGATAACTTCCCAGTCACCAAGCTAGTGGGTGGAAGAGTCAGCGATCAGCCCCTTGTCTGCCTGATTACAGAGCCCGTGAGTTTGCTATAGGAAGCAGAAACTCCTTAGATTTCACAGCAGAACGCTAATTTGAAGCCCCATTTAAGTATCCTTTCATACTATTCTGTCTTGCTGATAATTCCTTTAAAGACTTGAAACAATTCAGGCGACATGTATCAAACCTGAGACTAACATACAGCAGAGTATTTTCTAAACCAAACATGCTTGGGGAATGCACAATCCGTTAGGCCCATTGTAGAAATAAACTAGACCTTCCTTCTTTTCTTTTTAATTTTCCCTGAAGTATCTTTTGCCCATTGTTGTCCCTTTGATCTCAGCCACCTGGTTCTACAGCCAGCCAAAGAAAATGTCCAATTCCACAAAATGAGCCGTACAGCTTGAGTTGAATCATAATTTAACTTTTTTTTCCTTTGGCAATATACTTAAACAGTAACGTTACTTTATACATAGTACTTCCTAAGTTGTTATTATCAATTCCCTCCAAACATTGCCATTTCCTCAAAATGGAAAGGCAAGCACTGGGGTAAAGAGTCAAATATCCTGCCCTAATATCCAACGATGTATGCATTTGAGAGTTAACATTTACTTAATTGCTGAAGCAGTCATGCTAAGTGCGTAGTCTGACATATTATCCGGTGTTCATAAAGGTAATTTCTGAGGGGCAAAAAATCTATCAAACCAAGAGACTACTCTGCTAAAATCATTATCCAGATGTCTTTAAAATCTTCATCCGATCAGGACGGCGCAGCAGCTTGGGGAGTGTGGCCTGGCACAGGAATGCGTTCCTTGCACTTTTTGAAGGGAAGGAGGTGCCGATTACTCTCTGCTTTCCTCTCCTCTCGTCACACAGCCATTCTCCATCCTTGTCCTCTGACCCACAGACTGCATCTTCAACATCCTTTGTCCTGGGGCTTCCAGGTGGGTTTTGCTAATGGACGCGGTCAGCAGCAGGAGCTGGCGCTGGGGGGAAGGGAGAGCTCAGGCTCTCCAGCTGGCCCTCCCTCCCTGGCCGTGCAGCTGGTTGTCCATGGGGCCCCTTAGGCACCTACTGGCTTCCGGTCGCACTGGCTCCTCCCCTAAGACCTTCAGGCTGAGGGGAGAAAACACTTGTTCTGTTGTTGGGCTCTGGGTACCTCCCTCTCCTGTTGGTCCCTGAACCTGCCTATGCATTTGGCCGTGCTCTTTATTAACATCTCCTCAACTGAATCACTGGAGTGGAATCCTGTTGCCTGCCAGGACCTGGAGCTGGGGTTGCGGGTGCGTATCGAGGGGAGAGAAATGAGCAGAATGACTGACATAATTCAGGCCCTTCTGGGCTCCATGGCCCTAAACAACCTACCCAATTCCTTCTGCTTCGTTTCCATCCTCTGTAAAATGAGACTGATAAAGGCACCCACTTCTAAAGGGCTGAGCTCAGTGAGCACAGACAGGTGCACGCAGTAAAGATACGATTCATTAGCTTGGATGAAGAAAGAGGAGCGCGGGTGTCCCCTGGTTTGAGTTGGTGCAGGCCCAGTGCGTGACCTCCTGGGAATGCTGCCTGTCAGTGACTGATTGCCGGTATCTGTATCTCAACACTGGGGTGCAATCGGGCTGATGATTTCAAAAGAGATGATTTGATGCTGTTTTTCCCCAA